TGTCCATAACTTGCGGAAGCATGAGAGGTGTCCAATAAAGAAGGTTGTCTCATTCCTTCCTCTCTCACTCACAGCCTTTTTCTTCATCCTAGACGAGGTGCATGTTTTTGTACGGATTGGTTTATTGGTAGCGTGATGAGATATGTGGCCTGGGTCTATTGGGGAAAGTGAACCTGAAAATGGCTCTGGTCATCTAGGTGGATATCGCATTGCGAATAGTCAGAGAAGGAAATAGACGACCGGATGGAGGTAGGGGTTTCAGTAATAGACGAGATGAAGAGTATTGCTTATAGGCTGCCCATTCTTCTAAAAGCATATCTTCGCCCTCAACAAGGCAATATTTTCTTTACATAAATTCAGTGAGGTGTAAGGAGCTTCATTGCATTAGCCAAGTACAAACAGTGAAACCTAAGCGTGTTTATATGTCTTCTCCCCAAAATGCAAGTGTAAAACAGAGGATGATGGAGGGACAGAAGGAGGAAAGGGAGAGGGCAGCTAGTGCACATCTGTGCATAACTGTTTTTCCTTCTTCATCTCCTTTCTGTTTTGCCTCGGGGACAGCATTACCTAAGATGTCTTTGAAGTTGCTAAGTAAATTCTGTCAAAGCGTTTCTTGCCTCCTCCTAAAAAGAATGCCTATTAAAATTCTCAAATTTTTTGCTTTATTTGTATAGAATGTATAACGTTTAAACTATTTTACTACTGCAATGCATCACTCAAGCACTGCGTTTAGAGGAGAGGAGATAAAGAAGGACAAGCTGCAAATGTAATAGTGCTACACACAATCGTTATATATGTCTACTTTCTTTCCACCTCATGAAGGCAATTAGGAGAGCCAGCTGGGTGCGGTTGCAAGATGAGGTACCCAAGCCAAACGATGGCTGATTACCTCATGAGCGAGTAATTTGTGGTGGCACTGCATGATGGGGGCCGACTAGGAGGAGTTCAGCTAAAGGACCCACTCTGAATATTCGAGACTTCGGAACTTGCTAATTTATCTAAAAC